TCTTCCTGCATCTGGAGGTGTAGAGGTCTGTGATGGTGGGGAGACTGACTCCAACAGTCTTCTGTGCAGCCTTCACCACTCTCTGCAAAGCTTTTCTTTCTGCAGCTGTGCAGCCTCCATGCCACACGTTGATGCTGGAGCACAAGATGCTCTCCACTGCACACCTGTAGAAGGAGGTGAGGACTGAGCTTCCCAGACCAGCTCGTCTCAGCCGTCTGAGGAAGTAGAGTCTCTGATGAGCTTTCTTGATCAGGCTGGTGGTGTTGTTGCTCCAGCTGAGGTTGTCATTCATGTGTACACCCAAGTATTTGTAGCTGGAGACCACTTCCACCGCAGATCCTCTTATGTTCAGTGGGGTGTAGGTGCTTTTGTTCCTTCTGAAGTCCACAATCATCTCCTTTGTCTTCTTCACATTGATGTGAAGGTTGTTCTCTTTGCACCAGCTCTCCAGGTGTTCCACATCTTGTCTGTAGCTGGACTCATCATTGTTTGTGATGCCTCCCACCACCACTGTATCATCTGCAAACTTTACAATGTGACAGCCTGGATGGGTAGCTGCACAATCATACGTGAGCAGGAGGGGGCTCAACACACATCCCTGAGGAGAGCCAGTGCTGAGGGTTATGGTGGAGGAGGAGAAGTTGTGGATCCTCATTAACTGTGGTCTGTTTGTTAGGAAGTCTAGTACCCAGTTGCAAATGGAGGGGCTTAGTCCTAGTGTGAATAGTTTGTCCATCAGGGATTGGGGGATCATGGTGTTGAAGGCAGATGTGAAGTCCACAAAGAGCATACGGACATAAGAGTTTTTCTGCTCCAAGTGGTTGAGCGCAGTGTGGACCACAGAGGAGATTGCATCCTCTGTTGATCGGTTCTCAAGGTATGCATACTGATGACGGTCCTCGTTGATGTTGATGGTTGTTTTGATGTGAGTCATGACCAGTTGTTTGAAGCATTTAGCGACTATTGGGGTGAGGGCCACTGGCCGATAGTCATTCAGACTAGTCACTGTAGAGCTTTTCGGGACTGGGATTATGGTGGCAGTCTTCAGGCAGGTGGGAACTGTCTCCAGGGTAAGTGAGGTGTTAAAGATGTCTGCCAGCACCTCGCAGAGCTGATCGGCACATTCTTTCAACACTTTTCCGGGGATGTTGTCTGGGCCAGTTAGTTTGTGCAGATTAATCCTCCTGAAAGTACTCCTTACTTCAGCTGAGGTCACGCTGAGCCACTGAAAACTCAAAAATATCACTTGTATGTAGGAGTGTACCAAGCCGATAGTGTGTTGGCTCAGCGTCCCAATCAAGCTACACTATCTTTGATTGGTATCAGAGTTCTTGGTACTTTTTGTTCCTGATCCAATGTTGTCTATGGTTTTATGTTGCATCAGCTGCGCAGCAACACAACAACTGTACAGAAGCTGAGATATGGGTGGTGAAGTACAGACCTGGAAATGAGTGATAATTATAGTGTTCTATTTCGTGTAAGCTATGCCTTTTAAAAGCTGTCGCTATTGGGTTTACCCGCGCACAGCATGCCGAATACTGAAAACTTCTAGTCCACCCCCACCTGCTGTGTGGGCTCTACCTGGTCCGTTATAAATTGCTTCTGGACCGGAGCTCGACTCAAGTTTTTCTTCAACCAACACTAAGAACACTACTTCTACGAAAGAATAATAGAAAGAAAAAGAAGAAGATGGCTTCAATTAAGAAATTGTAGACCATCTGTCTGTGCCCCGAGTGCCAAATGGGCTACATCTTATCGAACAGGAAATGCAAGTAAACCTTCATGTTTTTGGTACAAGGTATTCAAGTGGGTAGGAGTTACACTGTGGAGATAAACAGAGGGAGGTTTTTCATCTGTTTTCTTGTCCAAGGCAGCACAAAGTGATGGATCCTGACAAGACGAGGGAGCACTTTACCCAAAACCAGGCACAATGAAGGAGCCAGGGGGTGGCCAGTGGTGGTCGTGGCCCCAATGTATTAATTTCGAAAAACACCAGTCATTTGAGGAAACTTTCCTTTTCAGCAATTTCAAATCTAAAAAGCTGTTTCCTAAAAGTTCATGGCCAAAACCAATGCAGACATGTTCCTATTTTTTAGTATTCCACATCGCTTTACACTGTAGCTGTTTTTTTTAAATACAATTTTCTCTTATTTATTCTTCTCAAATTATATGCTTTCTTTTATGATTGTCTACTGTTGTCATCACTCTTTGTTAAATAAATCAGGTCTCTCTTGTAAATGAGTCCTTGAGGCTCAATGGGTTTAACTTGTAAAGATAAAGGTTGAATGGATGATTTATGTAACACAAGCACCACATGTATTGAATGAAAAAAAAACAAAAAACATATATATATATATATATATATATATATATATATATATATATATAGTTGGTAGTTATCTCGATAACTGCTTTGTCAGTGATGAGTGGAACTCAAGTCAGTTCTCGTCTTATGGGTTCTTCTCAGGTGTAGGGGAATTGCCACAGTGACTTGTTCCCTGCTCTGTGGGCGGGATTGTCATTGCAAAGTGGGCGGGACTGTAACTGTAATCTGACTTCATTTGTTTTAGCTTATCCTAGCACTGATTAAAGGTCCGGGTGTAGCCATGCTGCACCATCCTCTCTAATGTCTTGCAGTAAATTCACTAATTTCTTGTAGCGTCATCCAGCTCACACTGAATCCTCTGATCCGCCAATAAAGAGAAAGGTCTGGAACTCGTCATTTGTCCACAGCACTGTTTTTGGAGCATCCGTACTGAACTTGAAAAGAGGAAAAATAAAACTAACTGGGCAGGTCATCCAGTAATGTAGCTCCACTGACCAATCAACAGCTGCTGCCTGCTTACGTCAAAATGGTCACCTTGGAGCAGTTTGTTGGAACCACAAACAAGATGGTCCCATAAACTGGGCTGAGTGGGGTTGGGCACCAGCTGTGGACAGACCCTTAACTGCTGCAGTGTGGTGCAGAACTGATAGTGGCATATTAAAAGTAATTCCACTCATGATTCTCTATTGTTGAAGATACACTGAACAAAAAATATAAAACAACACTTTTTTTTTTTGCTCCCATTTTTCATGAGTGGAACTCAAAGATCTGAGACTTTTTCTGTGTACACAAGAGACCATTAAATACTGTTCGCAAATCTTCTGTAAGATTGTCTGAGACTAGCCACCTGATCAGCTGCTGCAACAATCGGTTTGAATAACCAAGAAATTTGTACATAAACTGTCAGAAACCGTCTCAGTGAAGCTCGTCTGCTTGCTCACAGTCCTCATCTGGGTCTCCACCTGACTGAAGTTTGTCATCGTAACTAACTTGAGTGGGCACATGCTCACATTCAAAGACGTATGGCACGTTTGAGAAGCGTTCTCTTCACCGATGAATCTAGGTTTTCACTGCACAGTGCAGATGGCAGACATACGTTGTCATGTGGGTGAGCAGTTTGCTGACGTCAACGTTGTGAATCAAGTGGCCTATGGTGGTGGTGGGGTTATGGTATGGGCAGGAGTATAGACAACAAACACAGGTGAATTTTATTGATGGCATTTTGAATGAACAGAGAGACAGTGATGAGATCCTGAGGGTCATTGTTGTGCCATTCATCCACAACCATCACGTCATGTTTCACCATGCTAACTGCACGCTCCCTCAAAACTTGCAACATCTGAAGCATTGTGCTGTGATAAAACTGCACATTTTAGAGTGGCCTTTTATTGTGGTCAGCCTAAGACACACCTGTACAATAATCATGCTGTCTAATCAGCATCTTGGTATGCCACACCTGTGAGGTGGACGGATTATGTTGGCAAAAGAGAAGTGTTCACTTTTGTACACAGAAAAAGTCTTAGATCTTTGAGTTCAGCTCATGAAAAATGGGAGCAAAAACAAAAGCGTTGAGTTGATATTTTTCTTTAGTCTAATTAAATACACTGTGAATATTACAGGTTAGAACAGTTCCCAGCCTTGGTCCTCGAGGAACACTATCCTGCATGAATTTGTTGTTTCTCTGTTCAGACACACCTGATTTAATTACTGCACTTCCTCAAGTTCTGCAGAGGGCAGCACGGTGCCTCAGTTGGTAGAGCTGTTGCCTCTCAGTGAGGTGGCCAGTTCAAATCCCGGACCAGGACGTTTCTGGGTGGAGTTTGTATGTTCTCTTCATGATGTGTGGGTTTTCTCCAGGTACTCCAGTTTCCTCCCACAGACCAAAAACATGCATGTTGGCTGACTGGTAACTCTATAAATTGTCCCTAGATGTGAGTGAGAGAGTGAATGGTTGTTTGTCTCATTTGTCTCTATGTGTCCCTGTGATGGACTGGAGCAGAGTGTCCCTCGCCTCTCACACAGTGATAGCTGGACATGGGCACCAGTGACCCCCACGACCCAAAAAGGAAGAAGCTGGTAAAGATGGATGGACCAGGGTTGGGAACCACTGGGTTAGAATAAGATATATTTAAGCATGAACATCGTACACATAAAAAAACACTCCTTTTTATTTACCATCTCATGTTATTGGTGCGTCTCTAGTTATATTAGATTAGACCATGTGGATGTGTTTTAATAAAATATAAACCCATTTAATGTTGTAAAAGAATGTCTGCCTGGTCAGCCTCTGGTTGTCCACAACATTAGAAATAAAACTACAAAATAAACTTTAAACCTATATTTTAAGAATCAAGAAGCAAGTTATTGCTATGTTTGCAATAAAAATGTGCTTTGGGATACAAAATTTAAAAAAGGATAATAAAAGCATTATAGTATGAATGGTGCAATATAAATTTGGTCATTTTGACACCCTATAAATGAATTAAGACTGATATTTGATGTTTTGTCTAATGTTTATAAGTTTGAAACGTTATTTTAAGTCTGTTTTACAGTGAGCAAAAATGTTAATCTGTTCATTAGTACATGAGTTTATTGAGCAGATTTTGTGGTTAGATGAATAAAAAATGACCTGAGACAGCCAGGACTTATCTGTACAGACACATTGTTTATTTACCTTTAGCTGTGTGTTGAAGGCGTCTATTTCCAGCAGTTTAGCTCTTGTTTCTCGTTCCACAGCATCGAGCTGCTCTCTGAGCTGCTGTCTGCTGCTCTCTTTCTGCTCAACGGCCTTCTGCAGCGAAGACAAGCTGTCGCCTGAACACACAGAGACGGCAGGAAATCCTGTCCGGTTAATTAGGTCAGTTCAAGCAAGAGTTATGAATAACACAAACAAAACAAAACAAGTCCATTTTTCTTAATGGTTTTAGATCGTATTTATTTTAGTTGCAACATTTGCAACATTTATAAAAAAAAAAACGTGCAAGATTTAAGATAATACAAGCATTACGCTGATGTCCCATTTCTGAAGGATTTGAGTAGTGAATGTTTTTAGTTAGGGCAGCACGGTGGCGCAACTGATAGAGCTGCTGCCTCTCAGCAAGCAGGTTCCTGGTTCAAATCCCGGTCCAGGGGCCTTTCTGGGTGGAGTTTGCATGTTCTCTCCGTGCATGCGTGGGTTTTCTCCGGGTGCTCCGGTTTCCTCCCACAGACCAAAAACATGCATGTTAGGCTGATTGGTAACTCTAAATTGTCCCTAGGTGTGAGTGAGAGAGTGAATGGTTGTTTGTCTCGTTTGTCTCTATGTGTCCCTGTGATGGACTTGCGACCCGTGCAGGGTGTACCCCGCCCCTCACACAGTGATTGCTGGACATGGGCACCGGCGACCCCCGTGACCCAAAAAGGAAGAAGCAGGTAAAGATAATGGATGGATGGATATTTTTAGTTTTGGAGATGAGTGTTTACATGAAATAAACAGGGAATGTAAGTAAACATTAATGTTTTTGGTGCAAGATATTCAAGTGGGGAGAAGTTACACTGTGGAGAAGAACAGAAGGAGTTTTTTTTTTGGCTTGTCTGCGGCAGCGTAGTGACGAATCCTGGTGAGTGGAAGGAGCAGTTTATCCACAACCAGGAGCAACGGTGGAGCCAGAGGGCCACCCCAACCATTTGAGAAAATTTTACTTTTAAGTGTTATAAAAAAAAAAAGAAAAAGGGAAGCATAGTTTCTTCAAATGATAGGGATGGTCAGTTTACATATATGGTGGTGGCCATCTTAGATTTTGACTTGGCAAACCAGTTTTTGATAGGGACCTTTCTTTCACCTAGATGCAGCCACACACAAAAATGGAAGTTGATAATTCATTTATTTTTCAAGTTATCATGCTCACTACATGAACGGACGGACGGACAGAGGGAAAGTATTCCCAATTCCCCCTCTTCACTCCGCACAAGGGGACAATAAAGTGTATCAGCAGAACTGAAGGCAAACAGAAAACAGAGTCTGCCGGCCCAAACAATTGTTTATCTGAATTTGGCCTCCCTGCTGGCCTTGGACAGGACAACTTATCTCAAATTGCTCCTGGAGCATATGTAAACTAGAAGCTTCTGCATGCCCCCCTCCACTCCCGAGGACATCTGTGGCCTTATCAGAACCATGGTGCCGATAGACACTGTGTACCATCTTATCAGAACTTTGGAACTTTCTGGAGTGTCCAAGGACAACTCACTGCATTTGTCGACCTCTATGCATAAATGTATTACGATGTCATTGTATGTTGCTGCTTTATGTTGCGAGGTCTTTTTTGCATCTGTTACACTGTGTCCAGGCCAGGACATGGTGTGAGACATGATTTTTTTTGGCTTCCCCCACCTTCGTGTTCTCTTTTCTCATCTGCCTGTATGTTGTATGTAACAGGTCTCTCTTGTAAATGAGTCTTCGAGGCTCAATGGGAACTAACCTGTATAAATACAGGTCTAATAATAATAAAAAATGCAAATATAATGGTTGGAGTCATGTGAACCTGTATAATTAGTCATATTTTGAACTGTTTTGTTATTTAAAAAGTTCCCCATGCACAGAATATGTTCACTCCTGATCATTGGAACTGTGTCCACAGATGTGGCTGATACAGTTCTAACACAATGTGAAGAACGCTCAGGACTGGAGGCAACCACAACTCAACTGTCTTTTGCAGGCATGGTTTGAGATTTTTAGATTTGTCTAATTCACTAGAGAGTCAGCAGAGTGGCTGCTGAGCGGCACTGTGCCCCAGAAAAATTACTGCAGCTTCCTGTAGAAGAAACATGTTGCAGTAAAGCTTTGGGTTTTCACATCAACTTAACTAGACCCCAAAGAATACAGGAGTCCTTCGTTTATCGCAGGTGTTTGGGACGACGCCCACCTGCGATAAGTGAAAAACGGTGAAGTATGGAGACAGTAGTCCAAGTTCAGTTAAAGTTCAGTTAACTTTGTCATGACATGTGTCAGACTGCAATCACACTCATCACCTGTTACTCCCAATCTCCCTCCTTAAATAAACAATTTAAATTTAAATACTGTAACATTTTCAATAAACAATCCATACAGCATGGATTGTTTATTTAAAATGTTACAGTATTTAAATTCAAATTCTAGAGAAGAGAAGGCAGCAGGACATCAAATGATGTCACGCAGCTTCAGCTCTGCAGCACGGAGCAGAAATGTACTTCTTGATCAATTACACTTAAGTTAGCATTTTTTTTGTCATTTACCCTTTATTTATCCAGGTAGTCTCATTGAGCCACGAGAACTCATTTTCTAGAGAGACCTGTTTAGGGAGCAGATGGTGGTGGTTGAGGGCCTTGCTCAGGGGCCCAGAGTGGGGCGAATGAGGGTGGAGGGAGGTGTGGGTGTTCCACCTTTTCCACCCACATTTTGATGTTGACGGTACCGGGAGTTGAACCTGCGACTTTCCCATCACAGGCCCATCTTCTAACTTCTGCGCCACCACTCCCCCTAGCATCTATGCTAATCGTTGATAAGCCAGGCATTTTAATTTGTAATCATGTCAGATTTACAGCATTTTAATTAAACATCATAAGCTTACCAGCAGCATCCTGGTGTTTATTCATAAACTTAATAATTGCAGACAATCAAAATGAATCAGTAAATGTTTCATCATCACAGCACTCTTGAATCATATTTAGACTGAATGGTGACATGCATGAACATTGCTACCAATTCGAAGCACCCTTTCAAAACAATTAAGTGAAAATAAGAGAGCACAGTAAAAAGCCTCCTACTAATTTAGAAAGGTCACTGTGCAGGATTCCTCTCAGATAGTCAGATGTTCAAAGGATGCATAACAGAACAAATAGTGGGTGCAAATGATGAAGAAGATGGAGTCCAAAGGACGAGCTACACAGTCTTAATGAGTCTGCCCCTCAGTGTGCATCATGGTGAGAGTGTCATGGATGCTGTACTCACGGTGCTGACTGCTTTGCTGAACCTGTTTTAACTGATCATTCAGATTCTGTTTATCAGGAATTAGCCTCCCCAGCCATTGTTGGGACTCCTGCACACAAAACATATCCATATATTTGATACTATTGCTGCTTGTTTAAAAAGGTGTTAATGAATGATTTTGCTGAATAACTGTGAAGCATAAACTTTGTGTTTGTGTACCTGCAGCTGCTGCTGGAGCTGTGTGATCTCAGCTATGCGTGTTTCTCTGGTCTGATTGGTCTGCTCCATCTCTCTCCGCTGAGCCGACAGACGGAACCGAACATCCTTCAGTTTGCCCTCCAGCTGGTTCTTCTTGTCATTCTGGAGAACACGATAAAGAAACTGGACTCTATGCTTCTCAAAATGGCTGGAGTTAAGACCTTCTTACAGGGCAGTCTTGTTAGTTATGTCTTTAAGGATTGTTGATGAGTCATTCTGGTAGTTTATAACTATTAGCGCTGCATCTGACAATGTTTAACACTGGATGCTTACTGGTGGTGGATTTTCCTACTCAGAAACAAGTGAAATAAAAGATGTCGGTCTTTGAGTTAGTTTATTATAATAAACAGACACACACGTCACACAGGATGCTTTAATCAGCCTATAGAGGAAGTGTAAAATACAAAAGTCCAAACCAGCTTTATAGCTCTCCTTCATGTGATAAGAAAGGCACAAAAATGGGTCAGAATGTCAGTGTGCTCTGTGTTTCCTGATAACTGGGCTTTTGTCTTTTGTACTCCTGTTCCATTTAGATTACACATGGACCAGTAAGACAAGGTATCAATCATGATATGTATTTATTGTTTTGATGAACAGGAGATGCATGATTCATCATTATTTCAAGACACCCTGAGCACAGTATTTAGCCACTGTGAAGACATTCACATACTATAGAAATAGAAAATACTTAATGCTGCTAAATAAGATAAGTGCTATGCATATATATATATATATATATATATATATATATATATATATATATATATATATATATGTAAGAGGGCCACACTTTTTATAGTAGCAGCTTTGTGCACTCCGCCCATCTTTCGGAGGACTGTACGTACATGTTCTCGTTGTATCTCGGTGCAATGATAATAAAGTTTATTCTGATTCTGATTCCATTTAACAGATAAACACAAGAGTCTCTTATTTATAGTGTGAACTGAATTTGTTTAAATTACCAGAGCTTCCAGTTCAAACTCCAAGGTTTTCTTTCTGGCTTTGAGCAGAACGATACTTTCTTGCTCTCTGTTTCTCTGAGTCAGAAGCTCCTGGCGACGCTGCCTCTCCCACTCCAACTGACGCTGGCGCTCTAATTCTCTCTTAGCAGCCTGGAACACAAACAAAAAGCTTGTGTTGGATTTTACAACTCTTCATTACATCACACTTATTAAAATGCTGTTAAGTTGCAGAAAAGTAAATAAAAACAGGATGAATTATCTGCAATTCAGATTAACTCATACTTTATTCATAATGGAGCACAGTAAAAATATAAAAGGCTTAAATGAATAAATTGTGCCATTTTTGAAGGAGAAACAAAGATAATTTTGAATTGTTTGGCAGCAACTAGGACATTAACAGAGTACTCGAGTAATCTACACATCGATTGCTAGGACATCTATCGATGTTAAAAATGTAAAGTCGGGTATCTGTAGTGACGTCATATTATGTGACCACGTATGACCGTAGGGGTCGTTGTTGCAATGTTGCAGGTCACAGAGTATGGTGTAACACCGGGTCCTATCCACTGAACCAGAGCCAGTTTCTGTTTAAGTTTCGTTTTTGACGTGCTGCGTTTCTTCACGTTTGCAGTTTAATAATAATAACTAATGGTTTAGTTTTTCCTGTGACTTATTTGCAGTATGATAAATGGTAGGAGCATAATATACGCTCCCAATGTTTTGTTGGTCTTTTTTTTTGTAAATAATTACCTTTTTTGCGTTTTTTAAATTTATTTATTTTTGTATCTTGAGACCTATGACGACATCAAATACTCGAGTTCTACTCAGGTTTAATTATGTTAATGTCGAGTTTCAAAAGTATATACTCGTTCAACCCCTAGCAGCAACACATCTCAATAAAGCTGTTCCAGGTCCATGTTTCTCACTGTGCAACATCTCTACAGTCTGCAAACATATATGAACTGAGGACCAGCTGCTGGAGGGTGTAGAGGGTAATATTGTCCCATTCTGGTCAGATGTAGAATTTCAGCTGTTTAACAGTCCTGGATGTTTGCTGGATATTTTGTCTCGTGAGTCGTCAAACTGGTGAGAGGTCTGGACTGCAGGCAGGTCAGACCATCCATTTCATCAAGCATGCTGTTTTACTGGATGCAGGATGTGGTTTAAAACTGTTTTGTTAAAACATGCAAGGCCTTCACTGGAAAAAAGTAAAAATAAAAAGATGTCATCTGGATGGGGGCATGTTGGCATGTGGTGGCGCAGAGGTTAGAGAAGATCGCCGGGTCAAGCCCTGGTACTGACAACATCAAAAATGTGGGTGGGGTAGGTGAAGCACCCACACCTGCCCCCACCCTCATTCGCCCCACCCTGGGCCCATGAGCAAGGCCCTTAACCCCCATCTGCTCCATAAAACAAACTGGTCTCTCTTGAAAATGAGTTTGCGTGGCTCAATGAGACTATCTGTATAAATAAAGGGTAAATGAAAAAATAAATGTTGTTCCAACCTGTATATACTTTCCTGCATTGATGGAGCCTTTTCAGATGTGTAAGCTGCTAATGCCATAGGTATTATGCATCCCCATACTATCAGAGAAGCAGATTTTTTAACTGTGTTCTAATAAAAGGATAGATGGTGACCGTCCTCTTTAATATGGAGGAAGTAGCTTCTGTGGTTTCCAAAAAAGTTTCTGATTTCAACTCGTCTGATGACAGAAGTGTTTTATTTTCCCTCAGTCCATTTTAAATGAGCTTTGGTCCAGAGAGGATGGGAACATCTGTGGATGGTGTTTACATATGGCTTCTTTGTATGATAGTACTTTCAGCAGTATTTGTGGATGGCACAGTGACCTGTGTTGTTCCTGAGCCCGTGCAGTGATGTCCAAAGATCACGGCCATTCAGTATTGACTCTTAGCCTTGTCGTTTAAACTCAGAGATATCTAGAGATTCTTAAGTTTGCCCTTTATTTTATATTTTTTAGTGAGGAATATTATTATAAAATTATTATTTTACAGACTGGTGGACCTCTGCTCATCTTTACTTCTATGAGTTTCAGCCTCTGTAAAATGCTCTTTTTATACCCAGTCCTCTTACTGACTCTGACACTTAATCTAATTAGCTGCAAAATGCTTCTCTAGATGTTTCTCATTTCCATCACGTTTTTTGCCTTTTGATGACCTTGTCCAGACTTATTTAATGTGTTGTTGCTATGAAACTTTAAATGATCTTTTTACACCTAAAATAGCACACATTGTTAGTTTAAACATTTGATAAATTTATTTTGTTTGATTGTAAGTAAATTATGGTTTCTATTAAATCTGAATAATTCATGTTTTACACAATGCCCCAAACCTGGATTGCACAAATATTATAGTATTTTTAAATGTTATTCATCTGTTATAAAGAAGGGATCAAATTTAGGCCTGTGTTAACACTAAGCTTCACAGAGTGGTTGTGACCCGTGCTTCTAAAACCAACTGCAGCTCAGGTAGTTAAAACTCTGCAGCAGCTTGTGTTCAAACATAACAACCTGGTAGATGTTGTACTCCTCCTTTGTACCTCTCTCCTTTCTATCTCCTTGCGCCTCTCCTCTTCTCGTTGCCTCTCCAGCTCTCTCTGTTTCTCCAGTTGTTTCTCCAGCTCATGCTGCCGCCTTCTTTCCTGCTCCAGACGCTCGCGCTCCTAAAACACAAACATGTTAAAGAATCTGTTAATTATTTGTCTGTGTCTTTAACAGTAAGCGTGAAGAACGTCTAGAAACAGGAGATGAGCTGTTGCACAGTAAAACTCAGTACAATTTATCACCAAAACCATAAATCATAAGCAGCTGAACATGTAAAAGTATGAACATGAGTAACGAACATCGCGGCTACAGTTTACCTTTCTCTCCTGTTCCTCTCTCTCCACAGCAGCCAGCCTCTCCTGCTCTTTTCTCTGCTGCTCCTGAAGAGCCTGACGTCTTTTCTCCAACTCCAGGTTTCCTCGCTCAAAGTTTTCCCTCTTCTTATCCTCAAACGTCACTGAGGTGAGACAGCAAGCAAATATAAAAACAACCATCTTTAAAGCAAATTCTTAAAGAGGATAAAACGTGATGAATGGCACTGTGCTTCTTTATTCAAACAGTAAAAAAAAAAACAAATACAAGAAACAAAAACACTAGTTTTCCATGAATGGAAGTAGCTGAAAAACAAAGAGTGAAGCTGTGCTGAAGACCAGAGAGGACTTCTGTCAGTATCTTGAAGACTTAAGTTATTAATGTTACCAACAAGATGACACTTCACAAAACAAAAAGCAAAGAGTGTTCTGCTTGTGGAGTTAAATACTGGATCAAAACTGAATAAGTCAAAGATAATCTCCTCCAGTGTCGTCCTCCTTCATCCCAGTGTATCCCATCATGTAATGTTGGAGGGCTCATGGTTGCACAGACCAGCCCCGTTTTAAACTAGACACACGTGTCAAACTTAAGGCCTGGTGGCCAAATGTGGCCCTCGTTGGCATCTTGTCTAGCCCTTAAGATGACATGTTAAACGTAAAAGACGTATCACTAGAATTTTTTTCAGTAATCTTTGATTATGATGTCAAAAGCACAACAGAGTGACAGATTGGTCTCAAATGAGACCAATCAAACTCTTGTCGAGGAACCTGCAACCAAGAAAAGATGTTGGGTATCTGACTTGAGTTAATGTAAATTATGAAATTGGCCCTTAGCTTGAAAAATGTTTTAAGTTTGGCCCCCTTTTGTAAATAAGTTTGACACCCCTGCTTAGGGCTGAGTACCGAACCGAGGTTCTTAAATGGCACCCACCGAACTGCACCGGTCGGTGTATGGATTGAAACGTCACTCTTTATTCGGTGTCAAGTTTCGGTATTGGCTGTAACGTGTCACGTGGTTTCAGCACGCAGGCAGGTAAAACACCAGGCATATGACGAAACAGACTACGTGTTTACAACCAGCTCTGTATAGAGCTACCGCACCTAATCTATGTATAATGTATGTCTATGGTGCTGGTGACGCCCACAGACGGGGTTCATGTGTGCAGCACGTGTTGTCGAACAGCTTCGACAACACACGAGCAGAAAGTTGCTCCGTGTTTCTCTGCAAGAAGACAGACGGACAGCAGCTTCCCCCCTCCTCCTCTCAGCGTAAGTCAGTCTCTGTGTGTGTTAAACGGAATCAACATTCCACGGCCGGACTCGTCTTCATCAGAGAACTCCCGAGGACGGCTCTGTGTCTGTGTTTCAGCTGGTGAGTTTATATTTGTTAACGTTACTGCAGCTTAACATGTACATCGCGGTGAAATAATGCTAACTTTAAGATATTAGTGGGTAAATTTATTTTATCTATGTAGCTAGCTAAACTCAGAAGCTAACTAAAGATTGACAGATGAAGCTTCGCTTGTAAAAATGTGTTTATCCATTCAGTCAGCTGCTTAAACATTTCACTAATGTTCAGTGGTTATGTTTATCTTCTCCTCACAGGAGGTTCTGACACAGATGTTAGGACAGAGACAAAAGAAAAGCGAGGTGGGGGCCACAGGACAGTCACAAACTTTGCTGTTAAAGTTTGCCTTTTTCTACAGTGGAGGCTGCATGGTGGAGGTAAGTTAAGCTGTAAAGGATATTGTTGACCAGTTGAGCTTTTATCCCTCAGCCTAGATAATGTTTTTTTAAGCAATAATAACACAACCATGTTATTGTTGATGTTTTGTTCTCATGTCAATTAGGGAGATGATCAGAGCCCTAAACCCCAGAGAACCACAGAGAAGATTCAGGAAAAGACACAGAGGAGCAGAAGTCTGCATCAACCCTAACCTCAGTGAATCCAGTGACCTGCTGGTGGAATGTGAGGGACAATATGTCAGTGCTGTCAAACTGACAACCAGGTATCTGTGTGTGCAACAATCATCATCCACACCCTCAGAGGGAACACTTCCTACTGCTGGAGACACCACCAGAAATACCAAAGTTAAAAAATAAAATTCACAACATGTACTGTAATGTGTAATGTAATTTTATTCTTGTTAGAGATAATATTAATTACAAAATTGGTACCAAAAAAAGAAATGTCCAGGAACCAACACCGAAGTGAAGGTACCGACACCAGTACCGATACAGATTTTTTTAGAAAGGTACCCAGCCCTACCCCTGCTCTAGATGTTCATAAATCACAGATGGGGTCGGCCACTTCAGTTCCCACTTAGACACAAGCTTTCAGAAAAGAAGTGGGCTGAGCAGAACCAAAGGAGGCAGCGAGCAGAACCCTGGGCTGAAGTGGAACGTGAGACGTCTCTCCTGTATCGATTACACCAAGGAGACGTCTGACTTCAGTTAACTTGATGAGTTAACTTCCTTCAACAACACTGTTTGTGGTTACTATTTTTTTAACCTAACTACAACTGTGCGTCATCATCAATATTCCCAATCCCTTGGTAATTAATCTGTTTGTTATTGTTTAATCCAGCAAGCGGGCAGTTGTACACTAATATCATCAGTTCATCACATTACTGAGATGCAGCTCTGCAGGTTTATTTTTTTGTCAGACCGGTCCTGTTACTACCTCGCTCGGAGGCAGAGAGTTGTATTAGACGTGGGCTGTCTCTGACCCCCTCGCCACCAGTGTGTCTTCTGAAGGGACCAAGAACACGTCTCAGTCCCAGTCTGAGGCGTTGAGTGAATTATTCATCATTAATCTATAACCAATTAACATTTGGAATTTCCCCAGTTTAAGATGGCCACTATAGCTACAGATGTTGAGATAAAACTTGAAGTGGTAGTAGCTGAGCGTTCTAATTGCTTACAAATCTTGTGAGAGCTCCCAATAGAGCATGAGATCGTGTATAACAGCATTTACAGGATAACAGTCAGTTATAACAGCAATGTTTCCCCTAGCTTATCTGCCTTGGGAGATCACTTGTCTCATCGACAGTCTTCTCAATGCGGGGTGAGGGGCGTTAGCGTAGCCCTACGTTAGTATTGCCACTGCTGGCATTTGCCGACAGAGGGTTTGGTGGGGTTGTAGTGGAGCGCTACATTAATATAGCTGATTCTGTTGACAGGGCGGGGCACCTTTCTTAGATAATGTTAAGGGAAACATTGAACATTATAAAAAGCGACGGATGATTTCAGTGTCATGTCATTTACCTTTATCAACTCAGGCTTATCATTTGAAATCACTGATCCCTTATGCAAGGGAGGCCTGAGCCTGAAGGAAGCCTAACATGCATGTTGTTAGGTTGCGAGAGGAAACCGGAGAACCCATTAAAAAAAACCACACACAAACACGAGAAGAACATGCACCACACAGAAAAACCCCAGGACACGTCCCCATTGAGTTTGTGGATTCCTATAAATATTTGGGTATCTTGGTCGACTCTCATCTCTCTTTTAAGCTCCACGTGGAAAACCTAGTAAAGAAACTGAAAGTTAAACTGGGTTTCTTTTTCAGAAACAGATCCTGTATAACTCTGAATGCTAGGAAACGCCTTGTTACTGTGACTTTCCTTCCCTCCATTGATTACAGTGACATTATTTACATGAATGCTCCTACAAGCGCCCTGCAGATGTTGGATGCTGTCTATCACGGTGCACTAAGATTCATAACTGCCTGTGATTATCGTACCCATCACTGCACCCTGTATTCACTGGTTAACTGGTCATCATTAACTTCACGCAGACTCTCCCACTGGTACATTTTCATCTTTAAATCACTTCTTTGTCTGTTGCCTTCATACATCTCCTACATGTCTCTGCATGAGTGCAGCTACAGCGTGCGCTCTCAGGACATTATTACCTGCAGTGTTCCCTCAGTGCGGACTGAACTAGACAAAAGGGCCTTCTCCTACTCCGCTCCTGTTTCCTGGAATATCTTACAAAAAGACCTGAAGCTCTCGACCTTGACCTCTCTAAGTGGCTTTAAGAATCTGTTGGACTCCTGGCAAGGACCAATGCAGACATGTTCCTGTTTTTAGTTTTCTACATTCGCCTTAGAACCTAGATGTTTTTGTTACTTTTTTCGCCATCTTATTTTGATTTGTAAAAAAAATAAAAAAATACATAAAAATCTGTATGCCTTTTAATAATAGTCTACTGTTGTTGCTGTTGTCCATTGTTGTCATCATTCTTTGTTGAAATCAGGTCTCTCTTGTAAATGAGTCCTCGAGACTCAATGGGATTAACCTGTCTAAATAAAGCTTGAATGAATGAATGAACATTCTTTTTGTGAGGCAACAATGCCAACCACCAAGATGTTGTGCTGTGTGATGCCTGACTAAGAATATTCAGCGCATAACTGTGAAGTATGCCGCGTTCAAGTAGTTTTCAAATTGTAAAAACGCTGGGCTGTTCCCTTTCCCCTATATACAGTGGGGAGAACAAGTATTTGATACACTGTTGATTTTTCAGGTTTTCCCACTTGCAAAGCTTGTAGATGACTGTAATTTTTATCATAGGTACTCTTCAACTCTGAGTGATGGAATCCAAAACAAAAATCCAGAAAAATACAATGTATTATTTTTAAATAATTAATTTCCATTTTATTGTGTGAAATAAGTATTTGATCATCTATCAACCAGTAAGAATTTTGGCTCTCACAGACATGTTAGTTCTTCTTTAAGAAGCCCTCCTGTTCTCCACTCATTACCTGTATTAACTGCACCTGTTTGGACTCGTGACCTGTATAAAAGACATCTGTCCACACACTCAATCAATCAGACTCCAGCATCTCCACAATGCCCAAGACCAGAGAGCTGTGTAAGGACATCAGGGATAAAATTGTAGACCTGCACAAGGCTGGGATGGGCTACAGGACAATAGGCAAGCAGCTTGGTGAGAAGGCAACAACAGTTGGTGCAATTATTAGAAAATGGAAGAAATACAAAATAACGGAAAATCTCCCTCGGTCTGGGGCGCCATGCAAGATCTCACCTCGTGGAGCATCATTGATCTTGAGGAAGGTGAGGAATGAGCCCAGAACTACACGGCAGGACCTGGTCAATGACCTGAATAGAGCTGGGACCACAGTCTCAAAGAAAACAATCAGTAACACTCTACGCCGTCAAGGATTAAAATCCTGCAGTGCACGCAAGGTGCCCTTCCTCAAGCCTACGCATGTCAAAGCCCGTCTGAAGTTTGCAAATGACCATCTGAATGATCCAGAGGAAGAATGGGAGAAGGTCATGTGGTCTGATGAGACAAAAATAGAACTTTTTGGTTTAAACTCCACTCGTCATGTTTGGAGGAAGAAGAATGATAAGTACAACCCCAAGAACACCATCCCAACCGTGAAGCATGGCGGTGGAAACATCATTCTTTGGGGATGCTTTTCTGCAAAGGGGATAGGACGACTGCACCATATTGTGGGAAGGATGGATGGGGCCATGTATCGTGAGATTTTGGCCAACAACCTCCTTCCCTCAGTAAGAGCACTGAAGATGGGTCGTGGCTGGGTCTTCCAGCATAACGACCCAAAACACACAGCCAGGGCAACTAAAGAGTGGCTCCGTAGGAAACATCTTAAGATCCTGGAGTGGCCTAGCCAGTCTCCAGACCTGAATCCCATAGAAAATCTTTGGAGGGAGCTTAAAGTCCGTGTGGCCCAGCGACAGCCCCGAAACCTGAAGGCTCTGGAGGAGATCTGTATGGAGGAGTGGGCCAAAATCCCTGCTGCAGTGTGTGCAAACCTGGTCAAGAACTACAGGAAACGTCTGATCTCTGTAATTGCAAACAAAGGTTTCTGTACCAAATATTAAGTTTCATTTTTCTGGTGTATCAAATACTTATTTCACATAACAAAATGGAAATTAATTATTTAAAAATAATACATTGTATTTTTCTGGATTTTTGGTTTAGATTCCATCACTCACAGTTGAAGAGTACCTATGATAAAAATTACAGTCATCTACAAGCTTTGCAAGTGGGAAAACCTGAAAAATCAACAGTGTATCAAATACTTGTTCTCCCCACTGTAGTCTACTTTATAGTACCCACAATGCAGTGAGTGAACGAGTGAAGGTTTCGAACACGGCCTAGAACTTTCACTTTCACTGCCAACATATACTCCATCACCAACGGATCGTGCAACATCTTTCTTTAAAACCTTGACCATAGCAGGGGGTACACAATGCTTCAAGGAATGCTACCTTTATTTCTGTCTTGCAAACATTTAAACAAAATGTATTGATAATTATCTATCTACTCCAAAACATCAGTATAGTCACAAAACTTAAATATATATGATTTAAAAACAAAAAGAAAGTAAAGACTGCAGTACGACAGATAACTTGCCGTCTATTATTTAGGTGTCTTTTCAGAGTCAGAGTTTCTTTATTTGTCATTCGCACCACATGTGGTACATGTGGTGGAACAAAATTGTGTACACAGGGTCCCAGTTACATCCAACAATAAAATGTAAAAGAAAAACAGTAATAAAATCTAAGACATTTCTGCTAGGTAACACAATAGCCAACAAGCTGAAGGATTCAAGGTGTTTTGTGCTGCTTGTGTAAAATTTGGGCTTGAAAAGGAGACTTGGTCCTGTTTGACCACTGATATACCGTCACAAACAGACTTGAGCAATGAATCACCTGGTAATTTCTTCTCCTGGCTGCTCTCTGTCTCCTCCTCGATCTCCTCCTGGACACTCCTCTGGTCTGACTGAACACTGTCGCTTCGCACACGCCTTTAAAACACAAAGGTTACTCATATCTAAACTTTCAACGCCGCTCCTGAATTTACTGAAGTTCACTTCCAGTTTAAATATTAACAACAAAAATGTGGTTTATCTCAACTTTCAAGAAAAACACGCAAAGGGACAATTACAATTTTCTACCAGTAGTTACCCAGTTCCACACGTTTCTCAGCTGCTGCTGTCAGTCTGCAGTGTAAGGTGGTTTTTACCTGAACGTTGGTGGGAGGTAATCTGGTGGTAACACTGGAGGCAGCGGTAACCCTGACATCGCCATATCTATGAGGTGCATAGCCAAGATAAACTCCTCAGCTGTTAGCTTTCCATCCTGGTCAATGTCTGATAAATTCCTTCAGGAGAAAAGAATAAAATTAACTTCATATTTGTAGATTTTTGTTCTTGTTGTATGTTTATTCATTTTGTTTTAGTTTACTGACCATATAGCAGCCAGCTGACTCTGAGGAAGACTGGACTGCATCAGGATAGTGCGAGCCTGAGGTCCTGAGCAGGAAACAGAACAAACACATTTAAAACCAGCGAAAAATATAGCAACTTTTTTTTTTAAGTCACCCGTCGCTGAGAGATTTAATTAGTGAATGTCTGTAGTTTTCCAGATGAGTGGTTTTCTGGACTGAAACTAAACAGGGAATGTAAGAAAACCTAAATGTTTTTGGTACAAGATATTCAAGTGGGGAGGAGTTACACTGTGGAGAAGAACAAAGGGAGTATTTATTTATTTATTTTGCTTGATGAGGCAGAGTGACAGAACCTGGGGAGTGGAGGGTGCAGTTTTATTCACCACCAGGGGCAATGAAGGAGCCAGGGGGTGGCCAGTGGTGGCCTTGGCTACCATTAATTAATCTTTGGCCACCCCAATCATTTGAGGAAACTATATTTTAAGCATGTTAAAAACTAGAAAGCAAAGTTTCCTCAAATAACTGGGGTGGTTGATTTACTTATTTATATATGGTGGCAGCCATCTTGGACTCTGACCTGGCAAACCAATTTTTGATAGGCACCTTTCTTACATCAAGATGCTGCCACACACCAAAATGGAAGTCAGTACCTCACTTTTTTTTGAAGTTATGCTCACAACATGCATGAATGGATGGACAGAGGGTATTTCCAATTCGCCCTCTTTGCTCAGTGATGGGGGACATTAAAAGGCACCTACCGCTGCCACGTTTAATGCCAGAATTTATTAATTTTTGACCCATGTTGTGAAACGATGGAGCTATAGACAGACTATCTCATTTTTATTTCCTGAGCATTTCATTCAGTGATTCATGAAATATTTGGCTAACAGACAGAGCTGACTTTATGATAAAATTTAAAACAAAGATCTTGTGCAATCTGTTGGCACTACAAATATGTTTTGAGGATCAGTCTCAGCTACTACCAGATCAAATTTTAGATTAATATTTGTCAAACTGACTGAGTTAGAACCACTTTTGTGATTTTTAAGGCCAGTCAGCTGCAGCAGCCACACTGAATCAGGTTGACTCCAAAAGTTAAAGAGTTATAAATAAACATCCGACGATTACTTTAAGTAAGCTTTGTTAAAACTAATCAAGTGGTTTATGATGTTTTCATAAAAGACAGACAAACAGAAACAAGGGTCACTGATCTTTCGGTACTTCCAATAAATAAGATCAAAAACATGTTGTTGTGTCTCAGTACCAGTGAGGTATCCACTCATCATCTTGTCATGGGAGTTAAAAAGTTGTCTGTACTTCAGTCTGGATGACTGAGGAACTGCCCAATCAGGTGGAGGCTGAGACCTGGGAAACAGAAAAACACACCGATGTAACTCAAAATGAGAAGTAATAACAAAGATAGAAAAATAGTAAAAATACTACATGTAAGGATTTCTAAAACTAAATGTTTCAGTGATGGTTTAAACTTCGTTACAGAAAAAAAAGAGTAACTTATTGAAGAAGCTAATGGCATTTTGAGATTTTATCAGAAATTAAAAATACAGAAATGTCTCCAGCACCTTATGCCATTTGAACTACACAGGCATGTTGAATTCTTCCACCTACCCAGCAGCATCAAATGATGAGCCTTTCTGCAGCTTGGTGCTGGAACGATTAAACGAAGCCGTTTTGTTCACAGGAGGAGCTGAGGAAGGCAGAAAACAAAACCTTTAGTCTGAGGTCCAACTGCTTCAAGGAGAGGACTAAACTGCTGAAGCATTGAACTTTTAATCACACATTTTTTCTGAAAATTTTCATAAATAAATAAGTAAAAAAATAAAGATACTGATCTAAACTCCATCTGATTATGTCCACAAGAAAAGCTTATATTGTGTAAATGCAAGCTTAGAAACTAGAAAAAACACAAAAGAGGTGTTCTGACCTGGGTGAGGGAAGCCTGAGATGGGTGGCATCATGGCTGTGGGAGGAGCTCCGTTGGCGATGGGCTGCGGAAGGGGAGGGGGCACAGATGAGACGAGTGGGGGGGACACTCCAACAGGAAGAGGAGGCAGGGGGAGAGGAGGCACGACTGGCAGAGGAGCTGGGATGGGAGCTGGGATGGAGGCTATGGGGGGCATGCCTGGAAGGAAACAGGTCCAGATGTCATAATCAGACACTTGACATCAGATGTAGGAAACAAACTATTACTCTTGAATTAATGACTTGATTAGCACTGAAAGCAACAGATACTAACGAGCCAGAGAAACTGGCAACATTTTATAAACAACACAAAACTGTTTCATGTTGGGCATGAACCAATTCCCATTTCAGTAATGGGTTTTGGTTCAGATACCATGTACCTGTACTTGTATTCAAAAGTGTTCTGTTAGCCCAGTAGTGATATCACTTTATTACAAATTATCAAGTAAGAGTATTGGGTAAAGTTCCCAACAAGCAATAATCCCTCGTCAGATAAGCAAGCAGTACTACAACGTCACTGAGAGATTTGAATAGTGAATGTTTGTAGTTTTTGAGAAGAGTGTTTTTCTGGACTTGAACTGAACAGAGAATACAAATAAACCTTTATGTTTTTAGTGCAAGATATTCAAGTGGGTAGGAGTTACACTGTGGAGAAGAACAGAAGGAGTTTTTTTTCTTTCTTGTCTGTGGCAGCATGGCGTGACGGATGCTGGATAGTGGAGGGAGCATTTTTGTCCACTACCAGGCAGAGGTGGAGCCAGGGGGTGGCCAATGGCGGCTTTGGCTGCCATGCAGACAATATTTGGCAAATATTATACACCAGATGCTATTCCTGATACAACCTGGGCTCAAACCTGCAACCTCAGGATTACAAAACTGCAGCATCGAGTTACCGCAGCCCCCTTTTAACAAAAACTACATATAAAACAAATATTAATATTTGCTTTATTTTACTGTTGTGTGTTCTTTATTTCTCATGGGGCCTCCCCTGGCTGCATGTCACTGATTAGTACTCGCATTGATACTATGTATTGTCAACTACTCGTATGCAAGTACTTGTTCATCCCTGTTTCAAAAACACAGGTGCACAGAGGTCAGGTGTAAAGTGAAATTACTTCTTGTTTCTTACCAAAGCCAGTCGGCGGGGGTAAAGGCAGCGGAGGTTGTTTCATACTGGGGGGAAGGGTTGGGGGTAGAGGGTGACCCTGGAGTTTGAGCTTGATGAGTTTCATGGCGATGGAGAACTCGTGGATATCCATACGGCCATCGCTGTTCATATCAGCCAGAGCCCTAATAATAAAGAAACTTCAATTACCAAAACACAGAAAATAAAATAAAATAAGGGGCAGATATGATAAGATTTTTTTTTCTTCATCTGCCACCTTTCATTTTATAATTTTATTTCTTTTGTTGTCTGTATGTTAATTGTTTTGTGGTTTTTTATTATTATAAAATGAATAAAATAAATGAATAAAATAAATAAATAAATAAATAAATAAATAAAGCTGTCACAAATTTACTTGATGTTTTAATAATTTTCAAATACCTTAATATAAACAGCTCGACTATCCTAAACAATGTACTTCTTTGTCTAAGCTTGTTTCTTGCTCCTAATTTTTAAAGAAGAAGAAAGTTCATCTTCTTTATAAGGTGACTATAAATGCATTTTTCCATTGTTTGGACAGTAATACAAGTGTATTTACTACACTGGAAGCTGCGCTCAGAATGAAAATTCCTAGCAGAGCCACTGACGAAAAGGCAGATTACATGTCAAATCTCACACATGTACTGCCCTGCATATTCCATGCGTGTGAAAATATAACAAAGCAATATCTAAATGACTGACAGTTATTTGTCAAATAATCCTTACAATTGTGGCAGTCCAGACTGTAAGAGCCACTGCTGTAAGCCCGCTTTCATGCAGAGCATTTTCATACTTCTTCTGTGTGCGGTTTATAAATTAAGTCCAACGAAGATCGAGTTGCTGGACTGTCAATGTGACTCACCAGATTTGGGCCAGGATGGGCGGGGGCAGCCCTGATTGAAGGAAAAAGTTTCTGGCCTGGTCTCCTGACAGAAAAACACAGCAGGAAGATGTGAGATGATAGGAAAAAAAAAAATAAAAAATAAAAGACAAAATTACCAGAATCACTACGTCATTATTAGTAGAAACAATCAGTTTTACTGTTGAGTTTGTTACCATGTTCTTTATTTTGTTTATGCAATTCATATAAGAATGAATATATACTCTAAACCCCTGAAAACTCTTATTTAAATACATTTAACACACATTTCTTTTGAATAGAGTTTGGCACATGTATTGGGTATTGTGGACTGAAATATGGCATCATAGAAACACATAGAAACTGGATTTTTTTATAAGAATGCTGCAATTTGTCAATTTTCTTCCAAATAAATTCTAATTTCTTACTTTATTTTCAGTTTCCTGAAACCTTAGATCAGGCATCAGAGCCATTTGAAACATGAACAGGAAGTTTGTCAACGAGCAAGCTGACTCGTACCTGTTATGTAACCCGCAGCAGTCGGAGAGAGGCTGTGAAACTGCTGATCATGTTTGGCTCTCTCATCCACCGAGATCTGAAACACATCTGGACCAAACCAAACACACACATGGTTAAAATGTGAAAGGCCAAGACAAAGCCAGACACAAAAGGCGTGAAAAGGGTGGAATGGGAAAAATGCATTAGTCAACAGTTTCAGTTCTGGCAAAAATATGGATTGCACAATCCAAGACTGATGAGAAAAAGATGAAAGAATGAAGGACAAAGTCAGACATAAAACGTAATCAAACTACATCGGAATATGAACTGAAACTTAAAAAAGGTCTGGATAAATTCTGAAGGGGCCTGACACCTGGAGCTTTAACATTGAATGAGAATGACATACAGCCAATGAACACTTTGACAGTTTTATTAAAATCTACTCTGTGGTTTACAAGATATTTTGCTAACAGACATTTTCCCCAATAGTTCATGGTGAAGGCTCTTTTAGCAGTCACCACATGCCTTTGGATCACTGACGGCTACCATCGCACCAGATTTTAGCTCTAGAAATTACCAAGTTATCCACCTTATTCCTGGGGGCTCTACTGTATAATAGGCCTGTCACGATAACAAACTTTGATGGGAGATTATTGTCTCAGAAATTATTGCAATAAACGATAATATTGTTTGAAATTTGAGAATAATTAGTAATTATTCTCAAATTTAAGAAGAAATGTTGGTTCATTTGTTTTGAGTGTAGTACCTTTTTTTGACCACTGGATGGCAGTATAAGATTGCTTGAACCAAAGGATGGATAGTGAGGGAGCGAGCAGCGTGTCTCTTTAAGAAAAATGAGAGGGAGGCCCCTTGACGTGACATGGGCTGCCTCTCCTTCCTTTATTTGGTTCTCAAAATGGCGGATGCTCGGTGTGATTTGAGCTCTTTAGCATAGCATTTTTCACAAAAAAACTTTTAATAAAAAAATCAGTAAACAAGTAGATGTAACTAAATATGCTAGTAGATGTAGCTAAATATGCTAGTAGATGTAGCTA